TTGGACCCCTCACACCCAGCCCACTCTCTCTTCGAACTGTTGCCTTCTGGTCGGCGCTACAGAGCACTGACCACCAGAACAGCCAGGCACAAGAACAGTTTTTTCCCACAGGCTATATTCAGCCTGAACAATTAATCTTTCATAATTATACATCGTCCATCACAACTAACATAGTTATCTGACATATTTATATTAAACTGCACACTTTGTAAATAACATATCTGCACACTAATAAACATATCTGTACATTTATCTAAACAATAAAATTTTTTCCTATACTTCTGTTTCTGTATATAGTACATTATCTATTTTTTTTTAAATCATATTAGTGTTATATTACATCCCTACTGTGTTATTCCTATGTATGTCTGCACTATGTCTGTACTTTCTTCTACACTGTAAGCTCCTGTCGTCAAGTCAAATTCCTTGTGTGTGTAAACATACTTGGTAATAAAGCTCTTCTGATTCTGATTCTGATTTTTCATGTTCCAAAGGTTGTAGTATGAAATTCTTGTGTACTGTACATACAGTAAAGGAGGTATTGGCAAAATTTCTCCTGTAGTAAGTCAGTCTTATAACTACAAACGTACTACAACCTTTGGAAGAGGAAAAAAAAAACTTTTAGTAATCCTTTGTAACATGAAAAAAAAAAAAACCTATTAGTGAATTACAGTACTTTTTTCATGAAAATATTTGTGTACTGTACGGACAGTAAGGGAGATATTTGAAGTACTGTCTAAGGCGAGATATTGGCAAAATATATTCAGTCAGTTTGCCCACCGGGCATTTACTATAGCCCTGTAAACATTAATTTGAATTAATTATTGGACTTAGTTTTGTACTGTGAGGAAAATTAGCAGACGGTCCCTAAAGCAGCCTAGGCGAAAATGCAGCGAAAATCAAGCATAAACTAGCTTTATTAACAACCTTTATTATGAATGCTTAAAAATGACAGTCCTGTGGTATATAGTGTTATTCTGTTGAAATGTAGTTTTTAAAATAAAAAGTATTACATCGAATTATGTAATTGGCCGCTGTAGCGGTACCTGCCGGAGACAGACCGTGGCATCTGGAGACATTCTAAAACGCTTAATGTGAAACACGCTTAATGCATTAAAACTGTGTTTTTAAAGGACCAAACTCAGTAAACACATTATTAATAAAGCATATATGTACAGACAAGCAAATGAGCCCAGAGTGCGAAGGCAACGCATTTAATTACGCATTAAGCGAATTCCTCCCATAGAAAACCATTGTAAGGAAAACGCTTAACGTGGCTTAATGCGTTAAGACAGTGGTTTTAAATGACCAAACTGAGTAAACATTAATAATAAAGCATATAATGTACAGACAAGTTGATGAGTCCAGAATAAGAACGCAACATGTTTAATTACGCGTTAAGCATTTTAAAATGTCCCGGCATCTGGAGATGCCGATGCCGCATTTTGTGCCAGCCCTCTCTCCTGATTCCGGCAGAGCAGACACTTTCAGTTTAGAACTGATCTATTCTTGAACCTCTAACACTAGCACTCTCTATTATATTTCTGTTCTATCTACTAGTTTTCTTTTTATTTATTTATATAAAAACACTTGACCTTTTAACACTTGCACTCTTTACAATACTTGCTTTCTTTTTCTGTAAAAAAAATAGCCTCTAACACTAGCATTCTCTATTCTTGAACTGAACTGAAGCGACCGTTATCCAACTGAATTAAATGCTTTTATTCCTATAAAAAAGCAAAACGAAAGTGGAGACGGTGCTGCAATGTGCATTGTAATGTAATGTAAATGTAGTGGTGGCATCTTCTGTGCTAATTTCACTTTCAGACTCCGACGATATCGTGAGATCACATCACAACCCTAGAAGGTGTACTCTGTAATGAATTGTGATTTTAAAAGTAATAAAGTAGATCTCAGGTGGATGCTGCACACTGGTGGAGGTCGAGGAGAAACCCCCTCATATGATTGTAAAGCGCTTTGGGTGTACAGCAATACACAATAAAGCGCTATATAAATGCCTCATTCATTCTTCATTACTTGGATTAATTTGTACGTAAGTACAAGTAAAATTACAGACTTAAAAATATACTCATGAATGTACAAGTACCCCAAAAAACTACTTAATTACAGTTACGTGCATAGTTGTAATTTGTTACCTCCACTGCTGTGTAAATGTAATATTAATGTAATGTTCCCAGTGTTTCCATATACAGGGAAGATGTCAGACTTTGAAATGAGGAAGGGAGCAGCGTCTCCAGAACCCAGCTGTGTGTCTATAAAGAGTGACGGATCCATGGTTGTTCCTCCTAAATTCAGCGATGAACCAGTGACCTCTGACCCCAGGCGATTTTCAACATGTATTTGGCGAATTATTGCTAAGAAAGTCAACACTCACATTATTAGTTGTCATGTCTGGAAAGCAGTTACAGTATTTTCCAGATAATAAGTTGCACAGCGGGTAAAAAAATTACATTGTTGAGAAAAACACGCAGATAATTTGAGTCTGTGCATAAGTCACATTTTATTATTACAGCAATAAAGCAGCTCTACAGAAGACAGTAGTGTCATTATTCAGCTCAGTTCAGTTCATGATTTGTTCTCATGTGATAGTGTCAGTGCCGTCATATCGATAATATTTCTGAACATATACCCCCGGTTTCACAGACAAGACTTAAGCTTAGTCCCAGACTAAAATGTAAGTCTGAGCTGTTTCAACTGAAAGAAACTTGCACTGACTGATCTTAAAATATATCAGTGCCTTTGTTTTGTCTCAAAAAGCACACCAGTCATTTTTTTTTTCTAAAGTTTATAAAAATTACCTAAATGTCCTAATTGAACTATGGCCTAATCCTGGTTTAGTCTAAGCCCTGTCTGTGAAACCGGGCCTAAGTGTCTTTTAAACCCCAAATAATCAAGCCAAAACTAGGACAGGAATCTAAGAGACCAAAATGTCTACATAAGAGTCCAAAACAATTATAAGAAGCAGCACATTTCAGATGATAAAAAAATGTGACTTATATTTCAGAAAATATGTTGTACATTAATTTAAATATGCTGTATATAACAGGAATCTGTTAAACTCACACTTCTGTCTCAAATGTGTTGCTGTTCCTTGTGTGTTTTATTCATAAACATGTTTTTATGATTATATTTTGTTACCAATTAGAGACAATCAGACTGGAGATCCTCCTCAACCAGTGAATGATGAACTAAAGAGAGTCAAAGAGCAGCTCAAAACCAGCATGAAGAACAAGTATGAGATCAGAAGAGCAAGAAGCCTCCACATCATGTGCCACATCCCCGTCTTCTGCTGGATCTCATCCACTGTGCTTGAGAAGCTCCTGGAAGAAGATCTGAGTGCAGAAATCCCTCAAACTCTGACTGAGATGTAGATCCACTTCCTGCTCATTCAGATCAATATGAGGAAGCAGAAGTATGAAGAGAGAGATCCAGAGAAACTCCTGCAGTCCAACAGAGAAGTGATTGTGAAACTTGCTGAAGTGGCTTTCAAACAGCTGATGAAGGGCAATGTGATGTTCTATGAGGAGGACCTGATTGAGAGCGGCATAGACCTCCCTGATGCCTCTGTGTATTCTGGGATTTGCACTGAGATCTTTAAGCAGGAATCTGTGATTCATCAGAGGAAAGTCTACAGCTTCATTCATCTGAGCGTTCAGGAGTTTCTCGCTGCTTTCTATACATTTTACTGCTATTTAACAGAGAACATGGAGCCACTGGATGAATTCAGATCTTACGGTTTTTATGAAATCTCTCTGTATGATCTGCTAACATCAGCAGTAAATAAAGCCCTTGAGAGTGAGAATGGAGAGCTGGATCTGTTCCTGCGGTTCCTGCTGGGCATCTCACTGGAGTCCAATCAGAGACTCTTACAGGATCTACTGACACACACAGAGAACAGCTCAGAGAGCATCAGGAGAACCACACAGTACATTAAAGAGAAGATCAGAGATGGACATGGACTCTCCACTGAAAGATCCATCAATCTGTTCCTCTGTCTGCTGGAAGTGAAAGATCAGACTCTGTCCAGAGAGATTCAGGAGTTTGTGAAATCAGACAAACACTCAGAGAAGAAACTCTCTGCTGCTCACTGCTCAACAATCACCTACATGCTTCAGATGTCAGAGGAGCCGCTGGATGAGCTGGACCTCAAGAAATACAACACATCAGCTGAGGGGAGGAGAAGGCTGATACCAGCTGTGATCAACTGCAGAAAAGCTCTGTGAGTGTTTCATCATGAACTAAACTATCATATTTAATAATGAATCTGACACCTTTAAAATAAATGTTCCTGAATGAGAGATTTTCTCCTGAATATCAGGCCAGAATCTTAAGGGAGTCACGACAGGTGTTTTTAATACAGTAGATAGTCGAGCATAACGTCTGTTAGCGCCACGGTAAACCCAACCCCATCACATGAGAAACTCATTCATTAAATCAGCAGCAGCTGCAGCAAAGAGACGGTCGACACCATTGATCAGTAAAGCTGACATTCAGACATTTTCACTTGTGCTCGAAGCTTACTCTTTACTGTACAATACTAGCCAGTATTTTAGATTATTATACATTTAAAGAGGTCTGCATTATGCCATAAAATAAACAAAACCATAGAAAAGGTGAATTACTGTGAATGGGAATATTATGAGTGATATAGGTCTAGTTTTCTAACATATTTACTCTGTCAGCATTGTGATCACATTAATGTCACAAATAAAAGATTTAAACTTACATTTCAGCAGGTCACACACGTACATGAATTATTCACACAAAACAACCTAAGAGTTTGTCATTTAATGAAATCTGGGTTAAATATCCATTTACATGTCAGCCTTTTGTAAAAATGACTTTTGCAAACTCAGATGTGACGCATTTCTGTGAATGACTACAGAGAACAAGCCCTGATTCACAACATTAGTTTCCAAACACAGAAATAAAACTAGGTCTATATATGAGATCAGGATTTGAAGACTATAATAAACACAAATCCAGCACTAGAGCATCAGATCTCACAGTCAGCTCAAAACAATGATGTGCAGGACGCCACTGATGATCTTTATGATTGTGAAGGAGAGGAATGAAGAGCTTCTCTCTCGTGAACATGCTGCTGGAAAAGCTTCTTCTGGGCCTTTCAGGAAAAGTTCATCAGTAGTCTAGTGCTCGAGCGCTGGTCAACAATGTCACAGAGACACGGGTTCAAATCCACAACAAACCTGCTTGTTCTTCTCATTTACTCATTTATCTGTTGATTTCTTGGATTAATGCAGAGATTTGTGTGAATTCTGCAGTTCTGAAACACCTTGATTGATGAGCATATAAATCCATGCACTGAACAGGCGACCACTTTTAATGATCCGATGTGAAGTAAACCAGCTTTTCTTTATTTTATGGCAAGAATACAGTGAAATACAGCCTAAATATGATGTAGTGCTGTGTAGCATACAGTAAAAGCACATGCACACAGTCTTTACTCTGCCACTTGAATTTGTTCTGAACAACACACATAAGTTCATAAGCACTACATTTACTTCACTGCAAAAATGATTTTTAGTATTTTTGTCTTGTTTTCTAGAACAAATATCTAAACATTCCTGAATCAAGAATTAATGCAGAGATTTGTGTGAATTCTGCAGTTCTGAAACACCTTGATTGATGAGCATATAAATCCATGCACTGAACAGGCGACCACTTTTAATGATCCGATGTGAAGTAAACCAGCTTTTCTTTATTTTATGGCAAGAATACAGTGAAATACAGCCTAAATATGATGTAGTGCTGTGTAGCATACAGTAAAAGCACATGCACACAGTCTTTACTCTGCCACTTGAATTTGTTCTGAACAACACACATAAGTTCATAAGCACTAAATTTACTTCACTGCAAAAATGATTTTTAGTATTGTTTTCTAGAACAAATATCTAAACATTCCTGAATCAAGATCAATTTACTTGAGAAGCAAAATGATTTAAGATTTTAAATCTTGTTTTCTGAAAAATGTATCAAAAGTTTGTTAGTTTTTGCTTAAAATAAGAAAACAAATCTGTCAATGAGGTAATAAAAATAATCTTAATAATTAAAAGGGAAAACGATTGTTTTTCTTGCCATTGGCAGAATGTTTACCTTTTTTTTCAGAAAACGACTTTCTATCTTAAGTCATGTTGCTTCTGAAGTAAATGTATCTTGATTTCAGAATGTTGAGATATTTTTGCACAAATGTTGAAAATATGAATATTTCTGTCAGAAGCGCTGGGTTTATGATAAATGTGCACTGTTTTGATTGGCTGATGTCATGTCATCTCTCTCCTCGTTTCCTCATTGCTCACCGCTGCTCTTCTGCTTCAGAAGTCATCAGGAGGAAGCAGAAAACAGTCTTTTAGCTGCTTGATTCCATCAAATACTCTTTTTGCAGTGACAACCAACTTCTGAGATCTGAAACTATTTTTATAGAACAGTGATGTCATAAATACATAAATATTAGTGATGGAGGAATATTGTTTATTTTAATAACTGATATTAGGGCTAGGCGCAACTTTTCCACGACATTCTAATTTATTGAGATGCACCTGTACTAATGTGATATTGCTTAAATATTACATGCATCCTCATATGTCATACACAAAATTTTAACACAATTTAAGAAGGCTAATAATTACTGGACCTTAAAGCAATTGGCTATTTATTCCCTCATGACTAAAGTGGTGCTTCTCAAAGAATGAAATATTGCCCATAAAAGTGTTATCATCAAAAGTGTTATTTTATTTTAATTTGGGCTATTACAATTATTATAATACTAAATAACCATCATCCCTGGTTGAGTCTTGATTTTGTCTAGTTATTAATATTAGTCCTCATTCTGTAGGTTGAGGCTTTTATACAGTAAAGCTAGGGTGTGCAGTTTGGTGGAGGTTAACAATATCAAGCTAGCTTTGAAAATATCCCCACCCAGGGAGCAGTTGGGGTTCGGTTCTTGCTCAAGGGTCTCTCCTCAGTCGTGGTTAGAGAGCGCTGGTCATTCACTCCCCCCACCACAATCCCTGCCAGACCTGAGACTCAACCCCTCGACCTTTGGGTCACAAGTCCGACTCTCTAACCATTAGGCCACGCCTTGCTCTCAGGCTGTGAAGAGACTTTCATCAGTATAACACAAAATCTTTATGAAAAATATTGCCTATCCTAGCTTTAAAACTTTTAAAGTTTTCAATTACTGTAAAAAAATCTGGATTGGCAACTGATTGAATTTTTGATTTTTCTATTCAGAGAGTTTGTAAAACAGAACGGTCTAACCCAGAATTCAAGAGTTCATTGATTATAACTCAACAAAGAGTGAATAATCTTGTCTGGTCGCCCCTGTGAAAATATCCAACACTGATTTATAGCTTATTCTTAGAGAATATATAGTTTGTGTTGGCTAAACTTAGCCTGCATTAAATAAAATATTTTTGTCTCAATGGCAACAGTGAGTGAATAAAAAAAAAAATATATATATTTATAATTATTATATATAATATATATTATAATGAGAGATATTAATGTGATTTTAGATCTGCTGAATATACGTCAAAGCATGGAGTTTATTTTACAGAATCTTCTGATAGTGAATGTTACACAAAGGCAGAAGTTGTTAGGTGTGTGAATTGTGAGGTTTTAGTTTTCCTTTTCAGCTGTAGTTGCTGCTGTTGTTTTAAGTAGAGTTTGAAATGTTTACTTCCTTTCATCACTGATGTTCAGACTCTTATTCTTTCAGTTTCTTCTTTATAAAGTCACATGCCAACTGGCAAGTTTTAATTTATTAGTTAATGAATTAATTCCCTGTTTGTGCTTAAGACAGACATCTCACTCTTTCATTCTGTTTTCAGGTCCTCAAACCTCAAATCTTCTGTGCTCAATATTGAACCGCTGCTGAAGTGTCAGTCTTGCGTCCATATAGCTGATCCAGATCAGTGGGTTCAGATTGAGCCGTCGGCCTGTACAAATGAAGGAGTGTCAGAGTTCAGGATCAGTACTCCACCGGGCTGTTACGAGTGTGTCAGGACCAGGATGCGATGGGTCAGTGATTATGACGTCACTCTTCAGTATCACACGGTAGACAGACACTTCCTCAACAAAGAGCTGGAGAGGCTGCAGTGCAACTGGATCGCTCCAGTGATGGACGTGACGGTGATCTCAGGGAAGCTGGAGGAAGTTCATCTGCCACATTACATCTGTTTAGGAGAGTCTGGAGCTTCCCTCAGAGATGCTGTGAAAGTCCTCAGTGTAAAAGATGAGGGAATAACTATAGATCCAGTGAAGTTGACACGATTCCATGCTAAGATTGTCCAACCATCCTTCTCTCTTAAAACATTAATTATAAGTTGGATAATGGGATGGGACGAACACTGCGATCTTCTTCTCTACATGCGCTCTAAAGATCCTCTCAGTCTACATGTCTACTTTTTTCCATTTGATGATTGTGCGAAAGAAAAAGTTGAGAAGATTGAAAAATCGAGTTATTGGATCTTGCATCCCAGACCTGACAGACCGTTTCGGATGAAAACTCCACACATTCTTGATGTTCCTGGTGCCTCTGTCCATCCCAAAGAAGGGATCACACTCAGAAGAGAAACTGACCCAAACTTCTTCAAGATCAGGATCAAGACACGTCTGGAGAACGATTTTCATATGAGTCTGATCAGAGAGGAGGACAAGAAGATTGTCTGGACTGCAACACTTGAGAAAGAGGAACTTGATCAGATTCATCCACAGAGAGACGAGTTACGTCCACAGAGAGAGGAGTCACGTCTGAATAGTGAGGCAGATAAAGCAAGATATTTTGATAAACACTGGTCAGATCTCATTCAGAAGGTCACAGATTGCAGATAAACTGCGTCAGCATGAAATAATTCATGAGGAACAATATTCAGAAATCAGACAGAGTTTAACCAGTCAGGACGGCATGAGAACGATCTGTGACATTATACGTAAACACAGCGATGCTGTGAAAGCTAAACTCATCTCAATTCTTCAGGAAGAGAAGCTTTACCACTTTAAAACATTGGTCTGATTCTACATTTAGAGCTCAAGGAGCAAAACAGCAACCTCAGACCGAAGGCTCGTCCTCTAGATGATACGAGAAAAAAATGGCTTATCAAAATATACTTGGTCAGCAATGATGTCTTTCAAAATATTAAGTGATTGTAACATTACAAATAAATCTAAGGTTTTGTATGTCTAAGCTAATGTTCTTCATGGCAGGTAAATCTTCACTGGCAAAACAAATTTAGAGCAAGATTTATATTCATATTTGTCTAACTGTGTATTTCATGCTTGTACATGGTTTTATACATCAGAAATTCACCAACATTTTGAGATATTTCAGGGACTTTTTCAGTTTTAGTTTAGTTGTCATACAACATCAACTTAAACTAAATTATGAAATGAAAATGAGAAATGTTGAATTGGTAACTAGCTAGTAACTAGTTTTAAGTTTTTATATTTTATTTCATTTAACACGTTTTATTTCAAGTAACAAAAATGTTTAATGGTTTCAGTTTCAGTCTTAGTTAACTAATGTCTAGCCTAATTCAGTTCAGTCTAATAAAGGGTCTTTTTGTAAACTTTACTTTGTTGTTTTGGGGGAACAAAGTTTTGGATATTTGACTGATGTTTCACACATATGATTTCACACTGTATATGTTCCCACTGAGCTAAATAATGAGAAAGAACCAAACTTCCTATCACAGCTATGCAGACGACACCCAGATTTATCCTAGCCTTATCGCTTAATGACTACAGCCCCACTGACTCACTGCGTTTGGAAACAAAGATGAAGTTGTCAAGGTGAATGCATACCTTGACTCTAGGGGTCAAACAACTGAAAATCAAGTCAGGAATCTTGGTGTGATTCTGGAGACAGACCTTAGTTTCAGTAGTCATGTCAAAGCAGTAACTAAATCAGCATACTATCATCTCAAAAACATTGCATTGAATTAGATCTTTTGTTTCCAATCAAGACTTGGAGAAACTTCTTCATGCCTTTAGTTGGAAGTAGCTTCCAGTTAAGATCAGATAGAACAGTAGCTACATTTAAATCCAGACTCAAAACACATCTATTTAGCTGTGCATTTACTGAATGAGCACTGAGCTACGTCTAAATTGTTTTTATGTAAACACCTGGTTCTGCGGCAACATACATCTCTCTGAAGGTTATCTGGCTGTATTGTGACAGAGGAAGGCCGTAGTTATTTGTCTTCAGCTCTGAGTTCAAACCCCTCACACCTGAGAGAGCTGGATCTGAGCTACAATGAACCACGGGATTCAGGAGTGAAGCTACTCTCTGATGGACTGAAGAGTCCAAACTGTCAGCTGCAGATACTGAGGTATTAAGACCATATAAACGATGATGTAGAGTTAGTTGGTCATAATGTTGTTGGGTGTCTGTAGATGATCTGACTGTGTGTGTAGATGATCTGTGTGTGTCTGTAGATGATCTGACTGTGTGTGTGTCTGTAAATAATCTGACTGTGTGTGTCTGTAGATGGCTGTATGGTGAAAGAGGAAGGCTGTGGTTATTTGTCTTCAGCTCTGAGTTCAAACCCCTCACACCTGAGAGAGCTGGATCTGAGTGACAGATGCAGACGCACACTCTAAGATCAAGTCTGTGTGTACACTTGTTTTATAAACGAGGCCCCAGTACTCTATATTACACACAGCCATACTGAACTCTATGTGAAGAAACAAAGAAGAGGAACAGGAAATACAACTCATCTAAAGTGAAAGTGACGTGACATGTGGCCAAGTATGGTGACCCATACTCGGAATTAGTGCTCTGCATTTATCCCATCCAAAGTGCACACACACAGCAGTGAACACACACCCGGAGCAGTGGGCAGCCATTTTTTGCTGCGGCGCCCGGGGAGCAGTTGGGGGTTCCGTGCCTTGCTCAAGGGCACCTCAGTCGTGGTATTGAAGGTGGGAGAGAGCACTGTACATTCACTCCCCCCACCTACAATCCCTTCCGGCACAAGACTCGAACCCACAACCTTCGGGCTACGAGTCCGATTCTCTAACCATTAGGCCACGACTTCATCTAATTAAATAGAATAGAATAGAATTAAATAGGTGAAATTGACAACCAGGATAACAAGCGCACAATTAATTATCTTATGCTTTAATCCATACAAAGTTTGACATTACATTCATTAGTCTTTCTCCTGGAGTAACCTGAGCTTCAGTGTGTTGATCTTCATGGATCACGCTTCGCAGGGTTCAATTGGTCTCTCTCACATAAGCAAACAGAAATCCTTGTATTTATAAATATTGATTATTGAGATGTTTTTCAGTTATTTTAATGTATTTGAGATTTAGCATTTCATTGTCGAATCTTTAACTTCATATGAATGAGTCAGATGTGACCACAGCAATCCAGAGTGATTTAGTCATCAATTCCATACAGAAATAGTTCATGTCACTTCATGAAAAGTGAAAGTGCAGAAACTCTTTAAATACAAGACAGACCGAGAGACAGGAAGTACAGCGATGATGATGATGTCATCAGTGAAGCAGCTGCAGCATCGTCGTGGTAACAGCCAATAGGAGCAGCTGCAGACAGACAGGTGACCAGACTCTGGATCCAGCAGCTGCAGAGAGACACACAGATTTTGAGATGTGAGAACATTTACAGAAGAGGAATGGACTCAGTGGATCAGGAAAAACTCAGGATTTGACAGAAATGAAGTGCATTCACAGTTGATTTCAGCATCTACAGGATTTGTCTCAGTCTCTTCACTGTTTTCTCTAGCAGTGGTTTTAAATGTTCAAAACTATTTTAAATTAACAACTTTTTTCATTTCTGTCCTCCAAACTAAAAATTCAATATCACCATATTTATGTAACGTCTGATGGATAACAAGTGAACAAAATAAAACCAAATACATAAAAAGACAAGAAGCATAGAAAACATTTTTGTTACTTAAAATAATTGTTAACTAAAACAAAACAAAACATGAAAACCATTTTATTTTAGCAAGCTGCCAAGGCATAATTTCTCATTTTCATTTAGTTTAATGATGTACAAAAATAACTAAAACTAAAATAACAAAAACTATATAGAGATTTAAAAACAACAAAGCTAATAAAATGTCAGACACATAACAAAATTAATAACATTTTAACAAAAATTTTAATATAAATCTAAATATTAACAAAAATGATAATAGTATAGTAAAAAATAACACTGCTTTATAATGAACGTTGATTTGAACTGAATTTGAAGGCTGAACTGTTCTCAGGACAGAAGTATTTTTCAAAAACGTTTGAAGCAAGTCACTTTTTTAAATGTTTATACCACTTATTTATTATAATATTAGTAGTAAAGTTCTGCCATTTCGTTTTTGATGTTTTGGTAAGTCTTATGTGCTCTACTGTTAGTATTTTGCTAGTGCTAGTGTGTGTGTTGATGAACAGTATCATGTATGAGCAATAGCTTTTATTGCAGGCCAGACTTTAGTGGTTTGTTCATTTTCTATAGAGAGATTGATTTCACTGGAGTCTGCACTGTGACAACTAGCCCCGTCTCCCCTCTCTTGATCTCTCTGAAGCGCAGTGTGTCTCTGGTACCTGTGGTGGTGGAGGTGCCGGTCTGGGCTGACGGTGCTTTAGTCCTGCTGCTAGTTGTAGTGGTGGTGCTGGAGGTGGTTTCTGTGACGCTGGAGTTCCTGCCCCCCGTCAGACCGATCTGCAGCGTGTCCAGATCCACCTGCAGCTGGAGCCTGATCCACTCCTGAATCTGTGCTGCGCTTTCATACGTCTTCAGATCGGCCACATTCACACCCAGCAGACTCTTCACCTCAGACACGATCAACACCTACACACACACACACAGCAGCGTTATTAAGATTAACAAACGTCCTTCACATGAGGCCGAGCAGACGATGAGCTGAAGTACTGAACAGCAGAGAAACAGCTCAACAGAAGTGTGTGTGACTGCTGATCGTCACCAGTGAAACTGCTTCGGTTTCTCAAATGTGTGTGTATGCATGTCAGTCATGTCATCTTTGTTTCTATAGCACGTTCTACAATACAGATTGTGTCAAAGCAGCTCTACAGAGTCAAACAGGAGAATAGTGTGCCGATAACACAAGAGGACAATAACAAACACTCAGTGTTTCAGTTAAAGGCAGTTCATCATTGATTCAGTGATGTATGTGTTTGTATTTTTTAGTATCACTTATTAACATTAGCAAATGCATTAACTAACATAAACATGCAAAACATTTGTTGTTACAGTATTTGATTAATCTTCATTAACGTTAGTTAATAAAAATACAACTCTTCATTGTTAGTTGATGTTATTCTGGTCCCTTAAACCGTATTAATCACACACACACACACACACACACACACACACACACACAAACGAGTGTACAGGTGAAACCTACATTCATCCAATGCTCACTTCCTGAGACGCCTTTAAAGGCCCGTTTGAGGGTCAAGACTTGGTTTTAGGGTTAAGGTTAGGCTCTTGTGATGGTTAAGTTGAAGAGCTGATGTGTTTGTACTCACTCCATGCTGGTGGCCCTGATGTTGTTCAGCACACTGGTGTTCAGCGCACACAGGTTTGTTCCTCCCAGCGCGTTCAGCTCGTTCGTGCCGAGAGCGTTTCCATTCACACTCAGATACTTACTGACGAGCAGCTGGACCTGAGAGAGACACACACATCAGCACACTGAACCAACCCACTTCATGACATCTGGATCTACTTCAGTACACTAAGTATACTTCAGTTTTTAGGTGTACACTAGCGTCTGCGCACACATCACATCATCAGTACTGTACACTCACAGTGAATATGCACAGCCCGATCTTTCCACATTTTATTAGTTTATTCACAAGGTGGCGATAACATTCAGCAAATATCAATAACAGCATTAGGAATGTTGTTCTGTCAGAACGTATTTCAATTTGTACAATAACTAAATTAATCCTCAAAAATACAACTTGCCTAATAATTGTGCACACAGTGTATATTGCTCATTGTTAGTCAATGTCAGTTAATAAATTAACTAATGGGGATTATTGTTACCGGTGCATTTTATAATGTTGACAGTTAGACACAAAAAAAAAATGACAAAATAAATGTGTAATATGTTTTACAAGAATAAAACAAAACAGCTCCCTTATTATTATTGCTCTGCATTAGAATCAGAATTACTTTATTAATATTATCTGTTCTTTCTTCCTCAGTCGTAAGAAAAGTAACCAGAATCAAAATCAGAACAATTGATCTTTATCCCAGCTAACAGGGACCGTTGTGAACAAATGTTCTTCCAGTAATGTTAATAGAACATTTGTTCAGAGTGATTTGGTCTTTAATAATGTTCCTTAAAACATTAGCCCATAAACATGATTAATACATCATTCATCAAACCTTTTTATAACTGACATGTTTGAGTTTGTCAAAAGCTTTTCAAATGTTTAGAACATTCATAGAACATTCAAATGAAACATTCTCATAATGTTTGCAAAATGATAAAACGGAATGTTCCCTTAATGTTCACATAACCAAGAAAAAAGTTTTTAAATATTTTTAAAAACTGGACATTTGGATTGTTTGGAGAACATACAGAAATTATTCACACACACACACGCACGCACGCACGCACACACACTCACGCACGCACGCACACACTCAAACACACACACACACGCACACACACACACACACGCACACACACACACTCACACACACACAC